GCTAGTGCACATGACCATGAAACACCAACCTCTGAACTTGGCTCTCCTCACCCAGCAAACAGGCAGCTGCTCAGTGGATGTGTGATACCAGAGGTGATGGCCAAAATGGTAATTTCTTTCACTCTCCGTTATTGTCGAAACGCAGAAGCAGGCTGGAACCATGAGCACATGCCCTGGATCCAGAGTCTCTGGTTTCAAATCCAGGCCCTGCCACTTAGTAGCTGGATGCTGCTGAGCCAATTGCTTAACCTCTCCAAGCCTCAGTTTTCTCATCTGTAACACGGGGATCGGCACAGTACCTACTTCACAGGGCTTCTGTGAGGATTAAGGGAGTTAACACAAAAGGCTCTTCGATAAGCATACGACAAGCTCTCAATAACTGGGAGCCTGTGATTGTAAATGGCTGTCCTTATACAGGGCGCCGCCCTAGTACCACGGGCTCCAACCCGCACAAAGAGGGGGGTCAACCGTGGATGCTTCTTGGCCCGCCCGAGGGTCTGCTGAAGCGTGGCGTGGAAGCAGGGAGTCTGCACCGAGCATAAATGGCTGTCTTAATATCACTGATGCCCACCCCCAACATGTGGTCCCCAAAAGACAGCAGAACTGCAGACTTACTCCCGCTTAGCGGCGACGGCTTGGAGCTCAGTGCGGCTGGGCCTGTAGCGTTCTCTTGGCGAGGCTGGGCGCGACCTCGCACAAAAACCCTCCCGCCTCTTAGCGTGCTGATGGCTTCTTTGGAAGGACAAACAAAACACATGAAATATGCCGGCCCAGAGGCTGCTTTGTGGGGTCCGGACGGGTGCCGAAGGTAGTGTGTCACCGGTACCCTTCCAACGGCCAGAAGGACTAATCAGCACCTCAGAGCCTGAACCCCCTGAACACTCAGGACCGCTACGTCACCGAAATGAAGGCCATCGGAACCCGGGACTCGGCAATGGAGTTAACTGCCCTTCCCACGCCTGCTGAAAGGGGGCCTACGGCAGCTTCTCATTTCCTACAGTACCCTGAACAAAAAACCCACCTGGAACAGGCCTAATACGTTATCAACCCTGTCTTCCTCAGCCCCAGTTCCCACAGGTGATGTCACTAGGTGTTCATCTTAAGCACCTGGAAGGCTGCAGGGCCTAAGCAAGGGTGTGCCTGCAGAATTAGCAACAAAATTAGGAAACCCATAAAGGGGGCGCTGACCAAACAACAACATCAAGCATGCAGAGCTGTAACTCATCTGAAGGGCTTACAGGGGTGCTGCTAAGGGGACTGGCAGGTTTCACAAGTCTCAGAGAGCGGGGACCGCGTGACACTGGGCCTCTGACCTGCTCAACGCGCCGGCCCTGTCCTGCCGCAGGCGGCAGTGTCTTTCATCAGGCCAAGGAGGCACTGGGTTTGGTCTTGGGCTTCCTCTTCAGGGCACTGCTCCCCCGGCTGTCCCTTTCACGGCTCAGATGCCAGCTGCCTCTGTGGCCACCTCTACTTCCCCGTGAAGATGGATCAGACGCTGGCACCCAGTTCCTGAGGGTGGGAGGGGGGGCAGGGTGGAGGTGGGGGAATTGTTCCCTATGACACACATGTGGTGTCCCCCAAGTTCATCCTGCCGTTCCTGTGACCACACCCAGACCAACAGACTCTTCCCCTCTGGAGCTGACCTGCCTGCATCTGCACAGTGAGCACCTTTCTGCTTTTCAGGACTTCCCCCTGCCAGTGCCCCTTCTCCCAACTCTGGTACCTATAATCCCCCCTTCACGGCTCTAGGTCCTTGGTCCCCTTACTAAGAACACACTGAGAAATGAGTTTTCTTTTAGAAATGGCTCATCAACAAAGAGATAACCTGTTCTCTTTCTGCAGATAACAAATGTATAGCTTATTATTTGAAGTCTCAAGTCAATTACACTCCCCTTAATAGCCTGAATTGTTCCGCGCCTGGTGTAAATTAAGGGCAGATTGGCTGACTGAGGAAGTTGAACCATTATAATTCTTAGTGTGTCTGAATAGTTCTGGACAAGGAAAATGTTGTTTTGATTCTGAGGATGTTGGTTTTCTGGAAAGAAACAACCCAACAGTAAAGAATAGCAATTTCGCCAAACTAGTCTTGCTTGATAGAAATATCCCCCCTTCTATTCTAAATCTATATTTACCAAGTCACTTTGGGCCTATCATATGGTTTTCTGAACGGAGTTACTTACCAGAAAGAACTTTCCTAAGCAAATAATGTATTTTAACTCCACTGTGAATATATTTCTATTTTGGTTTAGAAATGTCTTAGGACTTTGTTATGGTGAGTTGGCCTCTAGCGTTTGAGCCCCTTCTGGTGAATGATGAAAGAAACCTGCGAAGCTGAGAGCTGAGACCTGGGACCTGGCAGACTGGGTACGATCACCCTACCTTAACCAGGTCTGCTCTGCTCTTTGCCGCCGCTTTCTTACACACATTGAGGGCTGGGCCAAGTCTAATGCATTTTTGTTCTGCTCATGTCACTTGGACTTGTGAATTGCATACACGTGGAATTAGAAGTTGGAAAGTGGAAAGTCAAAGACCCCACGAATGCCACGCACGAAACAGTTAACTGTTAACAGTTAAACGTGTATCCTCCCAGGCTCCCCACCCCCCCATATGTAGAAGTGTGGCATTTCTTACTTAACATATTGCAGGCACTTTTAGATGTCAGTGGGCGGAGATGTCCTCTTGATTTTGTTCCCCAAACATACAGTCTCTACTTCTCCGCTGATGGCGGCTCCATCCTTCCTGTTTCTCAGGCCCAAAGCCTCAGGGTCACCTTAGACACCTCAATTTCTCACATACCCCACATTCAATGTGCCAGGAGATCCTGACCCCAAAATGAGCCTAGACTGAGCCATTTCTCACCACAGTGGCCAGGGAAAGCCTTTGGAAACACAGATCAGATCATGGCATTCTTTAGCTCAACTCCCTGCTAAGGGCAATGCCCCTGGGCCCCGACCTCAGAGCGTCCTCTCCCCTGACTTCACCTACTACTTTCACCTGACTCTGGCCACTCTGGTCTCCATGTGGACCTTGGATACTCCTGGCCTCTCCCTTTGCTCCCCGCCACCACACATGACTGCTCCCTCACCTCTGCAAATCACCAAAATGGTATGTTCTTGGTGAGGCCTTCCCTGAAAACCCATTTTAAATCACCCTTTCCCCTCATCTCCAGAATTCCCTGCACCTCCATGCCATATTTTTCTCCACGACACCCAGTATTATATTTTACTTATTTAATTAACAGACTTTGTTCTTTCATGAAATGACAATAGGGATTTTTATCTTTGTTTCCATTCTATCCCCAGTGTGTAGAACAAGGCTTGCCCATAGCAGGCTGCTCAATGGGTATTTGGCGAAAAATGAGTGAAAGGCCCAGCTGGTGTGGCTCAGTGGTTGAGCATCGCCCCATGTACCAAGAGGTCGCCAGTTTGATTCCTGGTCAGGGCACATGCCTGGGTTGAAGACTTGATCCCAGGTTTGGGAGGGAGGGATGGGGTGCAGGAGGCAGCCAATTGATGTTTCTATTTCTCCCTTCCTCTCTCTCTAAAATCAATAAAAACATATTTAAAAAAAATGAGTGAAAGGCACTGTGCTAGAAAATGGAAGTATAAGAATTAAAAAAGCATGACCAAAGCAGGAACCTTGGTTCAAGGGAATGTAAATGTGGACACAAATAACTATAATGTAAAAAATACCCTGATAATTGCTAAACATAAGTTGAAAACAAAGCTTTATGTCCCTACTACAGTACGAGTGATTAATTCTGACCATGGGGATTAGGACAGGGTCTGTGGAGAGGGCAGCCTCTGAGCCAGGCCTTGGCTGAAGAGAACTGCAAGAAGCTGAGAGGGAAAGGAAGGCTATCAAGCAAGAGAGACTGCTAAAAATGAGAGAGAAAACACTGTGGAGAAGAGTCTGCGAGGCAGTGGGGCTGATGCCCGGGGCATTTATTTGGTTGAAGGGATGCGGGGTGGGAGGTGAGCCTGGGGAGGTGTCCACCCCGCCGGGCTGTGTGGGGCCTGGACTGCTCGCGCAGGAAGGGGACTGGAGGGGACTCCATTCTTAGGTAACAGGGGAGCACCGAGCCTTCCTTTATTAGTGATAAGGTGTGGATGGCACTTTAGGAAGATTAAATCTGCCATTTGTTTACAGTATTCTCCAGAAACACAGACGCGAGAGGACAAAAACAGGCGAGGTGGCCACAGGAAGGCCTGCCAGCCCCATCCATGTGCTAAGCACACTTCTCTCCCAGGGCAGTTTTCTGGCTGGGAACGGCGAGCCAGCCTGGGGCGTCCTGTTCCTGTTATCTCACCAAAATCCACAACTGACCGAGGCCAAACAATGCGGAGAGACCACAATATTGAAGGCCCTGGAAACGGCTGACATGATGGGAGTAAGCTCCGGGAAACCTCACAGAATATATTCTGGGTATCAGCTACGGGTCAGTAGTACTCACAATTTCATTTCCTGATGAGCTCAATGACAGATTGGCGAAGATAAAGAGATGCTTCTAGGTTTCTTAGGGGCACAAAAAATGTTTGGCATCTTAATATGTGAAATCAAAATGTGTACTGTTCTGAGTGGCATCAGATAGACAACTGTCTGATCCTGAGAATTTTACATAGTGTTAAAAGAATGAGAGGAGAGAGCGAGTTGGGCCAAAATTACCTACTTTATAAAAACACAACTAAAGCATAACCATAATTCAAAATTAGGTTGCAGAAGATAAAGTTATCTCAGAAGTACCATTTTTTTCTGTTTTTTCTTTCTCCAAAGACATTCACTGTGCATTTATGTAGACACTGTACATTTCTAAAAAGAGAGACGTGTGTCTTGGGAGCTCTGCACTTTACCTTGTAGCTGGGAATGAATAGCCCATTTCTTTTCAATTGCACACAAGTTACTTGCAGCTTTCTCTAGTGTTCCAGAAAAATATCCAAGTAATTGTCTTCATTGTTATGTCTGTCCTTATTTATGCACCCACTAAAAAAAACTGTACTTACATTTACTCAGCAAGTATTCACCAAGTGCCCTCCCTGGGTGGGTGCTGCACTGGGCAGTGGGGAGGTACAGTTATGAAGGAGGCAAGGATTCTGCCCTCGGGTGTCTAGAGGAGGAGACAGACACAATGGAGTAATGACAAATGCCAATGTGATAACTTTCATAATACAAACAAGCTTTATCCAGGCCAAAGGGAGGCACGCACAATCCCACCTGAGGCGGCGGGGAGAGATTACTAGACGAGGTGACATTTAGCATGGTCTGGAAGGAATTCGCGAGCAGACAAAGGTAAAAGGGCATTCTGGGCAGAGGGACAGCTTGAACGAAGCCATGGGCCTGTTAACCAGTGGAGAGGGTTTCAGTCTGGCGGTGGTACTGGGGGCGCGGGGAGCTGGGCAATGTCCCTGGAGGGAGACACTGGTATCCTGAACCGAAGCAGTAGCACTTGGGACATCATAAAACAGACGAACTCAAGAAATATTATGGGGGTGCGAGGCGAAAGCAGAAAGAATTCTTGATACATTTCATTCTTGAAAACAGCTGAGGTGGGGCTTGCAGTACGCACCTTTCAACAAATAGAAACCCTTCCATTTATTCCGATGAGGGAATTTTTTATCTGGAGTAATGTCGGTTTGGGCTTGGTAAAGGAAAAAAAAAAAGATCGCATTGATAGGACACATAGATTTTGTTTAAAAGAGGAGTATGTCAATGAAAATACATTCTTCAGATCCAATCAATACTGCAATTGAGTAATAAAACCAGGAGAGACTGTATTATTTCCAAATTCTACTTCAGTGATTTTTCTCCTGTTAAAGTGGCCACAAACCTGAAAACGCAATTAAAGTCAGAGAGAGAAAATGAGACTGAAGATTTACAGGAGATAAAGAGTTGTGAAAACTCCATGATAATCAGGATAAAGAGATTAGAAGGGCTCCTTAATGAAAGGATAAATTTCCATTCTTTGTTTTTACTGTTTAACAAACATAAAGAGATATCCATCCAGTGTTTTTTCTTGGGCAGTAAAATGCTTAACAGCTTCTGATTACAGTTACAAAATGTCATCCGTGGCTGTGGGTGGACATCAGTGTTTTTTCATGGCCCATAAAACAAGCCCCTAAACTCTGCTACAGGAAAGCGTATGTTCACGTTAACTTCATCTCACTCCTTCCTGCTGGGACCTGAGCGGGTCAGGCCACTCCTACCTTGGGAATGGGCAAGGAGGCTGGGGCTCAGCCATTGCTCCCTGGGCTTTAAAACCATCCTTGCCCAAGGTCTGGTAGAGCAGGTAGTAAAAAAAACCTGCAGAGCCTGTTTCTTAGACAAATGAAAAAGAACTTTTACAGGCAAGTGCAAGAATGCATTTGGAGCTGAGGCTGAAAAGACAGGGGCGGCTACGTTTTAATCCAGAAAAAGTCTAAAAATAAGCAGAGCAAAGTTCTTCTGACAATCAATGCTGGATCCTATGTGATAAATTGGCCTGCTACTTATTTGGAGTGGGCAAAGGTATTATTGAGCCTTTGGAATAAACCTGCCTGGAAAGTATTTCCTAGGGAAATAATAACAATAACAGTACCAACAATAACGATGATGGGATATTGGCAGCAGTTAATATACTATGTGCCAAGTACTTTACATGAATTCTCTTATTAAGTCCTTACAACAACTCTGTGAGATAAAGACGATTATTATTGCCAACTTATAAATGAGAATACAAAAGCTTACAGGGGTTTAATATTTTGCTCAGAGTCACACAGCTAGTAAGTGGTTGAGTCCAAGCTCTTGCTGACTTCATTCTACTAAACTCTATTATCTTTCATTACACTCACTACTTACAAAAAGCCTCAATTAATTACAATGCATGGACGATGTTCTATTAATTAAATATAGAGGGCTTTGCTCCTAATTCTTATGAATAAGCTTTCTAAAATCTAACTTACCTTAGTAAAGACAATATACTCTGCCTAAGTATGCCTGTCAGTGGTGACGGAGGGTGTTGAGAGTCATGATTTTGTGTCCCCTGGGATGTCCTAGGCTCCCCCACGTAATTCTTATCCATCTTTCTAAAACCAATTCCATGGCCAGCAATCCAGGAAATGTTTTCCTTCATGTTTTGCAGCTCCCACACGCGCGGTCTATCTGCTGGCGCCCTCCTGGGCGTGGGAGAGCCGCGGGGCCTGCGGCTGCTCCCCTCCCTGGGTGCTCCTGCCGTTGCCCTGGCTGCTGGGTCAGGGTGTGTTCGGCTCCTCGATGGAGGCGCCTGCTTCTCTGGCGGGACACCATCCCATCAGGGTTGGAGACAGGAGAACTGACTCGGTGCTAGTCTGTCCCCATGCGTTCCCTTTATGCTCCTGAGTTCTGCTGTGTGCTGTGGATCCAGTTTTCCTTTGCTCGCCCCTCACGCCCGCTTACCCTCTATCATTCCCTTCCCAAACGTCTGCCCGCCGGCATTCAAGCTCCAGCATAAGAGTGAAGACAGCAGCACTGCACGGACAGTTTAACCAGATAGACCTCTATCTATCTATCTAGACCTCTATCTATCTATCTAGACCTCTATCTAGACCTCTATCTATCTATCTAGACCTCTATCTATCTANNACATATCTCCATTTGCCCATTTGTGGGTCTACTTCTCTCTTTGAACCCTGAGTTCAAAGCCATGGAGAGGTGAAAGCTTGAATCCAGTGAAAACACTGCTTTTGGATGATAAGACCTCATTCTGATGATTTATGCATACCCAGAAGCCAGGTTCAAGGAAGAAAAAGAAAGGATAAGTAGGGAGTCAAAGGGGTCATGGGAGCAGAAAAGTAAAAAGTAATTTGTGATAATGTAACATAACATAACATATGTCTACTTCATGCCAGGCACTGGAAATATAAAGATCAATAATAAGCCTGGACCTTATAATCTGTGGGGGGGAAGGACTCTTCAAGAGCTAACTCTAATAGAATAAGTGCTATATAATTGGCATGAATAAAGCACTATGGGAAAACAGAGGAGGAAGTCATTAATTTTGTCTGAGGGGACTGGGGAGGGCTCTGCAGATGAGGTAACATCGACACTGGGCATGAAGGATGAATGGGAAATTCACTAGTGCAGGCACTCTCAAACTTCAGCAGGCATAGAATCACCCAGAGGGCTTATTAAAACACATCGCTGGGCACCTCTGAATTTCTGATTCACTAGGCCTGAGAATTTGTATTCCTCAAAAGTTCCCAGGCGATGCTTATGCTACAGGCCTGGGGACCGCACTATAACCACAGCTCTAGTGAAGAAAAGTGGGGACGGGGGTGGCCGGTGTCCTAGACACAACTGGGGCAAAGCATAAAAATTCATTTACAATTGTTTTTTCCCTTCCCACAGCCCTCCCTCTTGTTCTCCTTTCTCTCTTACTATTTCTACTTCCTTGGCCCTCTTTGCTCACCATCTGGAATCAAGTTTTACGGTGTCTTGGATGGAGGCATCAAAGGGGTGATGTTCAGAAGGAAGGGGGCAATCTAGGGCTGGAGTTCAGGAAAACAGTCAGGCTGGACGTATTGCTGTGGGAGCCTAGGCAAACTGTAGATCTGTTTTACTTAGGTGTGTGTGTATGTATGTGCATATATATATGTGTGTATGGTTTTATGTGTATTTCTATATATACACACACATATACACACACCAATCAGTATAAATACATATACTTTCTAACAGTATTTTTGCATATTTTAATTTTTAAGATATTTCACTTGTCAATTTGAAAACCAGCTCTTGAATTTCTTTATGTTAATTTGCTCTTTTTTTAATTCATTGGTTACTTTTAGTTTCTTCCCTCTTAGTTTCTTCCCTCTTAGTCCTGGAAGCTTTGGACAATGCAGTGACACATAAACTAGACATAAAAGTATAAAAGGTATAATGCTGTAAAGGAGGAAGCAAAAATCAAGTGTTCCCATTGCTGGGCTGGTTCATCAGTCTCCCTCCCACCCCACCCTTGCAAAAGGTTTAACTAAAAAGCTATTAGATTTAACAAAGGAACTCGGCAAAGTGGCTAGATACAAAATAAACATTTAAAAATCAATAGCTTTCCTGTGTACTAGCAATAACAATTACGATATAATAGGGGAAAAAATGCATTCACAATGTGCAAGATGTAACATCTGGAGGGAAAACTGCTAAAAGATAAAAAGACGACCTAAATAAATGGAGAGATAGTAACAAGTTGTCAGCTCCATGCAAATTACTCACAGCGTGAATCTCTAAATGGGGTCTAGGGATTATTTCCTTAAAATCCCTTGGATGCTTATTAAAATGCAGATTCCTGGGCTGAGCCCAGACTTAACAGCACCACAAGAGGGGGAAGGGTAGGTTTGCAAGAAAACTGTCTTCTTAGCAAGCTCCCCAAGTGATTCTAATACATACACATTAAAGTTTAGCAACCAGAGCTTTATATAGGTTTCATAAAACTTTAGTAAGATTCCAAGTTCATCTGGAATGAGAGCCAAGAAGGGGGCTGCCCTGACATATGTTAAAGAATATCATAAACGTAAAGTATATGCATAAGGTATATCATAAGCTTCAGTAATAAAAATAATGTATTTTGCAAAAACTAACAAACTTAACTGAACAGAATAGTCCCAAGACAAAGTCCCACATTAAGTTACAGAAGTAAAATTGGTTTTGTGTGTCCATTAGTGCATCACCAGAAAACAGTTGCATCTTTCTTCACCCAATTTGGAGGGTTTGTTTGGAAAGATCTGATACGACATGCAGTTGAAGCAGTTTGGTTGGGGAGGCCACAGGTAGATATAAGAAGTAATTCTGTTACTTTTTGTTTTGATGATTAGTCTGGTGAGAACATGGACTAATACTGCAGGGAGGCATATGAAAGCGAGAGACTGCCCTTACTCCCAGGTCCTAGAGGAGGGAGCCTGACATCCACTCGGGAGCCACAGGGGAGATGGGCTCAGCCAAGCAGGAAGGGAGGAGAGCAAGAGTGAGAGAGAACACATAGCAAGTGCCTTTACTGGGGGCCTGGGGAGGGTACAAACTAAAGGTGCGAGGGGATTATTTCAGGGTGCTCACAGCCTGTGGGGATACTGAC